TCCTTTACACTTCACAGCCTACCTCTCCCAACTTCTTCACCTTTATCTTTCAATCTCTGAAAACCGTCTGAGTAGTCAAACCTGATCACTTTTGTGATAAACCACAACACATTTGCATGCCTCTCTATCTCTGGAAAGGCTTTCTCTCTACTTAAGCATCCCTTTGCCCACATTATCTCATCAGGCTAATTCCTATTCACCTTCAAGACTCAATTGAAATAATATCTACTTGGGAGAAAATCTTTACCCATTTCTTAATATTTAGTTCTTCCTATTCTATGCTCTGGAGGAACTTAATTCTCTTCTACTGTGATATTCATCACAATATGACTTGTACTAAAAGTCCCCTGCTTTTAGACTAAACAACTATGTTTCATTTGTCTCTGTAACATCTCTGTGTCTTTGACATAGCACCAATTCAAAAAATTGTTCTGTGAAATGGAACCTTGTAGAGTTACTCAGGAAGTTTTTATGAGAATAACCATTTCATGGAGAGGAGACAATGAAGACTACCAAGAAAAGAGTTAACATAGCAGGCCAGAACTGCTATCCTTTCTTTGGAAAGCCTGGTTATAAGGTTGGTCCTTGGCTGGCATCTGGGAACTTAGATTTCAGGGTTCCCATTGTTAATTGATAAGTGTAGCTCACTGTGCCTAAACTGTTTGTACAAATAATAATACAGTTTATGACAAACACTGACTTTCCTTCTGGGAGGCTGGAATTTTGGTATGTACCAGGCAAGGAGTACCTACATGACTAGCCCCGAAAAAAAGTCCTGGATTCTGAGTCTCTAATGAGTTCCCCTCACTGGCTAAATCTCACATGTTGTCAAATTCGTGCTGGAAAAATTAACTACGTCCTGCGCGAGTCCACTGGAAAAGACTTTGGAAGCTTCCAAAAGCTTTTCCCTAGACTTCACCCATGCACCTTTTCCTTTTGCTGATTTTGCTTCAGATTCTTTCATCATAATAAGTCATAGCCATGAGCACAACTATATGCTGAATCCTGAGTCCTCCTAGACAATCAGGCTAGGGCGTGGTCTTGGGGATTCCCTCAAAACGTAAAATATCACATGCAGGTATCGAGGTGAAAGTCAGCTCTGCTGAAGGGCAGAGTTTTAGCCAGGAAAATAGAAACGTTGATAAAGGGTCAAAACAGCTCGATTTTTAATGAAAAATTTCTAAATAAAGGAGTGAAACAACATTAAAGATAGATGATTTTCTAATAGTCTAGTAATAGAGATTGGAGGAAAAACAGTGTAAACGTACGCGGATTAAGAGAAAACTATTAAAACAGGTAAAAATGAGGTGACTAGAAATTAAAGATTGAAATTAAGGGAATGTTTCAATAAAGAATATATAAAAAATACAGACTTATCTACTTGGCACTTTTTTAACTGCACAGATTAGCAACTCCATGTCAAATGGGAAATAATGAATATAATTTTGGAATATCACATGATATGGTGCCTTGCCAACCAAATATTTCTTTTCTGCAGCACTGCCATCTGTATGCAGTCAGCAGTCTTTGTGCATTTACTTTGTACAACTCTATTGCATTTACCCTATTATTTCAAATATACAAACAGTAATCAAAAGTCTAAAGTACTATTGAAAAAGCAACTGTAAAAGATGGAAATCAGAGGGCTAAAAGGGCAAATCCAGCATCATTTGGATCTCAAGAGATTTATCCTATTGAATTATATATCTAAATGTGAAAAGGAAATTTTCTAATTTGCTAGAAATATTTTGAGATTTTTATCAAAAAGAACACTAATAGAGAAAATGCAGAGATCCTTAAAAATTACAAATTGAATATTGGCCTAAAAAATTCTACTGATCTAAATGTATTCTTTTGAAAATGCTAGTTTAAGTATATTAAAAACACTCATCGAAAGAAGCCTGGCTTTCAATTTTCTCTAAGATATTAATAAGGTTGATATCAATAACAACAAATTTAGCATTACAACTGTATGTTTGATCTCATTAAATTACTAACGATAAAACCTTCCCAACATTAAAATATATTTGCTCAGCATATTAAATATTATCCTAAATCAACTGAGGCAAACTGAATTTATGGTGAGAAATTACTTTTAAAATTACTGTCTATAAAATTTAACCTATATTTTGATATTTTAAACAATTGTGTAATACTGGGCTTCTAGTACAAGATCAGTAAAAGAGTGTATATTTTTTTCTGAAGACCCCAGAAATGGAGGAAACAAGAAAATCTGAGAAGAAATTCCATTTGCAATAAAACTAAGAAACAGCTATAATGTCAATGATGAAGAATAATTGCCTGACACAGTGAGATCTAGATCAAATCTAATTCCTCAACAGGGTCTCAATGTTTCTGACAAGGCAAGGCCCTGGGGCCTAATCAGATATTTCTTACTTAGAACCAGGACTGGAGGTTCAGGCTAGAAAAAAGGAGACTCTGGGGATGCCAGGTCAGGAACTGTTCATGACAGAGAAAGCTGAAAGAGGAACTGGGAGCAAAGAGGCAATCTGAGTCTTCTCCAACGAACCTGGAAAAACTGCCTTGAAGCTGCTGCGAGATGAGGGAAATAGCAACCAGCTTTGTTGCTCATCTGAGTTAAGTAAGCATAAACAAAACTTAGGCCCCAATAAAAAAAAAAACTATGAGCAAGAAGTCTTCACAGAGAGCCTTGGTCTTCATCAGCTCTGCTCACCAGGACTAGAGAATTGTCACTAGGGAAGACTTGGTAAGAGTGTTTCTGAAAACCACATCTGATTGGTTGTCTAGAACACACTTCACCCCTGTTCTGTATCATCCTTGAGCAAATTACAAACTCGGTGTATCTATGCGAATGTAACTGTTTCCAGTCAATGAGAAGCAGAGTGGATTCATTCAACATGGGACTTATGTAGTCAATACAAGAAAAAAGCCATAACAAAATGCAGATAAAAAATGTACAACGAAAAATGAAAAAAATTCAAATCTCTATTTTCAAAGATGTTGAAAGGGAAAACCTCAAAAAGGAATACAATAACAAGGTTTAAAAAAAAAGTGAACTTGCAGAGCTCAGGAAATAAAGGATAGCAAATCCTCTGAAGTAAGAGTTAATACAACAGACTATTCTTAGAAAGGCCTGCTTACAAGGTTGACCCCTGGCTGCCAGATGAAACCTGACTCTGATTAAAATCTTCCCTAACGGTAAGAATGAATTATTGTTCCTAAATTGTATATGCGGTTTATTCCGAACACCTGCTTTCTTTTCAGGAGCCTGAAATTTTGGTACATGGTAGGCACTGTGTACCTACATGACTAACACCCAATAAAAACCTTGGGCACTGAGTCTCTAATGAGCTTCCCCACTAGACAACCATTTCACACATGTCGCAATTGTGTGCTGGAGGAATTAAGCACATCCTGGTAACTCCATGGGGAGGAGACTTAGAAGCTTGTGTCCAGGTTTCTCCAGCTTTTGTTCCTTGAGCCTTTTCTCTTTGCTGATTTTGCTTTTGTACCCTTTCATATAATACATATGAAGACACCATGAGCATGACTACATGCTGAGTCGAGGCCTTCCAGCCAATCACCAAAGCTGAGGGTTGTCTTGGCGTGCCCCAACACAAGAAGTATCTGAACTGGAAACCCAACATACAGGGTCCTAGTGTCCTTATAATAGAAAATAGAGTATAACAAAAATATTCAAAGAACTATTGGAAGATTTGCATCTAAAAAGTTATACTATGTTTCATTAAAAACTAAGAGAATAGTAAAAATCAAACTATATCCTAGCCCAGTTTCTAAAGTTCAATGACTAAGATCTCCATAAATCGCAAAGGAAAAACCAAGATTACTTTCAAGGAGGATAATATTTTGGGGGTCTCAGATTTCTTCATGGCTAAACTTGATGCCATAAGACTGTGAAAATAATGTCTACAAAGCGCTAAGGGAGATAACGTGTAACTTGAAACTACTGTACTCAGCCACATTGCTGTTTAAATATAAAACAGGCAATTCTCAAGCAAAAAAGTAAACAGAGCACATAGAGATGTACTCTGGAGATGGGAAGCAGGCACTGCAGATCTGATAAATGACTATAGTCACCAACCAAGGGATTAATTAAGGTGAGAACTCAGAAATAAACCACACCATCAAGATTAAAAGCATTGGATCCATTTGAATTGTGCGTATAGAATAAAAAAGTGATAAACTTTTATGGTGTTAAAAAACTAACAGTAAATAAAATTTGGCTGGTAGAAATTTTAGGGAAAATTAAAGTGTAAGAACTTTCTCATTTTCCATAGTGGAAAGAAATAGTAACAGTAATTATAAGTTTAAAAAACAAAAAAAAAAGAACTGACTCGCTCCTTTTAGAAATGCAAGGTAAGGGTGTGAATCTGCAATCCTAAATGATTTGTCAATGTTCTCCTGTAGTAACTCACCATTTGTATTTTATAGTTCACTAATGTTCTGATGAGTAGCCTATATCACCAGGAAGGATGATTAAGGTCAGGTAAAAATAATAAGTATAGAAAATTACTAAAGTTAAATCATCAAAATAATTTAAAGAAAATGGCCAGTTTAATAAGAATGGAAGAATCCGAATCACTCACATACTGTTGGAAACATTAACTGGTACAACTTTTCAGAGGGTGGCTTGTCTCAAACTAAAATGTGCACAGTGATTCCACATTTTACCAATTTATCCTGTAGACACGCTCATGCAAGTTCACAAAGGAATATCTTAAGAATATTCACTGTTGGTAATAATGAAAAACAGGAAAAAATTAAATGTCTATCAATGAAGGGCTGAAAAATAAAATTGAGCTTAATAATAAAATACACTATGTAGCTATTAAAATGAAATTGCATTATATGAATCAGGGAAAATTATGAACATCATAGAAAGATGTCCACAATACATTCTGAGATGAATCAAGAAGCATAACCTTAAAAGGCCTATGACAGTGATCAATGGCAGTAACTGACTGGTCTAAAACTAAATAGGAGATAAATCAGAACAGTGGTTTCCTGGGAGGGGAGCAGAATGCAAGAGAATTTTCTGGGGTGATGGAAATAGTCTGTATCTTAATTGGGCTGGGTCTTGGCTACACAGTTGTATGAATCTGACAAAACTCAGGAAAAGTACACTTAATTAAGACCGCTCTATTTCACTATATGCAAATTTTGCCTTAAAAATAGAATAAGTAACTTACAAAATCAATTTTTTAATGGCAAAAGTAATACATGCTTGTAGTAAAAATATAAAATACAAATACTACAAGTGAAAATCTCCTCTTATCCCTTTTCCCCAAATTTAACCTTCTCTGAGTCAACCCTTGTTAACTGGATATGTTATGCTCTCCAGAATTTTTTTCTATATATAAATAGGTGTAGTTGTATTTTTTCTTAATTGCAAAAGAAATGTAATTATCCTATGCATAGCAACACGTTTCTGATAGTTAATCATAAACATGTTCTCTTACTGGTACATATAATTCCTTCACGTTAAGGGCATACAATGTTCTACTGCATGGATAAACCGTAATTTATTGAACTACTACTTTACCGCTGGCCACTGAATTACTTTAAAGCTTTAACAAAATGAGCATCTTTATATTTATTACAATTCTTATGGATATAAAAAAAAAAAAAATTATACCATAATTAAGGATTTTTAAATGCTCCTTGGGAAAAGAACTCCCATTATTATATGAAAGCCTATTTTTCAATTTTCAAACATATGCCTCCCAAATACATGAGCAGAACAATGCCTATTCTTCCCATTGAACACACATAGTAACTTAACATAATTGTGAATTAATGAATAAAATTTTACAAACACATCAGCTATGAAAGAAATATGCTGCACTGTATTTTTGCAGTAGCTCAAAAAATCCGTAACTTAGCAGTGAAATCTCAAGCTATAAACAAATGGAAGTTTTTTAGAAAGTGGAGGGGGGAAATCAATGACTGCACCAAACGGATCTAAAATGCATTACTCTCAAGGTATCTGGGCCAATTCCTAGCCTTTTGTAATATTTTCCATAATAGAGTAATAAGTCAGCATTTATAAATTTATGAATTCCTGTCAAAAATGCTAATAATGGAAAAACTCAGTATTATCACTAGACAGTAAAAGAGAACCTGTGACAAACTTTTACTTAGAAGACTATAACTTGAAAATGAAACAGTTACAAACCTAGGTCCAATAACAGGAATAAGTAAGACATCCTGAAGGTCTGGATGTTGAAGAATAGGAACACTTAATCCATTAAACTGCTGTAAAAAATAAACACAGAATTATAAAGCAATCAATATAATTGATAAATTTCAATTTATGGAGCTTTACAGTATCATAATTCAGCAAAGCATGAAATTTGGTTTGGGATATTTTCACTTTATTCCATGGGATACTATAAAAATCAAAGACTTTAAAATAACTATGTGTTCCTTATAATTTGATTCTGAAGTATCCTAACTTCTTTATAAGGCTCAATTTTGCTTATTGTTTGGTTTTATAAATACGAAGCATGTTTACCTAAGTAACTTACTTTAAAAACATATATCCAATGTAGAACTACATGGAGCACTCTAAAAAAGCTTCTGAATAAACATTAAAGATTGAGATGAGCAATATTTATCAGACACTATCAACACTAGATGCCATGCCAGTTTTGATGAGGGAAATAAATGCTTTTTGGCAAAGACTCAGGACTTTCAGTATCTTCTATCATATTTGGCCTTCAGACTATAAATAGGTACAGGGCCAGTGGTATAGGTGCTGCAGCCAGCTCACACAGTCTCATCACAGCCAACTGTGTGCATGTCTTCCCCAACTGCATGGTCACACCGGTAGCTTGAAATTAAGCACAGTGGAAGTATGTATTTACACCTCTTATATTAGCAAAACACCACAAAAGGTTATTTTTCCCAGAAAGTGGGCTGTTCGGTATGTACCAGTACATCACTGTTGCAGCCAAAAGATGACTTGGCACTCCACATAGTGGAATAAAGAGCAGAACAGTGGATGGGAGAGTAAGGACGGTGTACTACACTCTCAGAGGACTACATGCAAATATTTGAGAACAAGTCTCTGCCTCACAGGCTAGAGATTTCAACTCACTAATTTTCGCATTTTACACGAAAGAGCAGTAACAATATTATAGCCCTGTAGTATCCATACACTACCTAGAAACACTTGTAAAACCAACTTATTTCTAAGTTAAGAGAAAAAAATTGTATTTTAGAAATCTAACTACATTTCTATCAAGTCAACAGCTCTCCTAACTTCTGCTCCTTCCAGGCAAAGAACATTTCAGACTAACCATATCTAACAGCTACTGAGAACTCTGAAAGGTAAACTCCTTCTCATTCAATCGATCCTCTCTCCTTTTTTTTCCCCTCTCCAGTTGTTTGATGGCCTTATAGTATTCAGATTATGGTAAACTGATCTTTCCAAGGAGAAGAAAGATAATGAATTTTGTCAATTTTTTGTTTTAGAAGTATTATTTGCTTTACACTACAGAAATATTTTAGAGTTCAATCCTTCTGAAACCAAGGTTTTCCTTCTCTCCTTTTCTATCAGATGTTAAAATGATACAGAAACGAGATTTTCATAAAACTGCACACAAACACAACTTTCATAAACCACATTATTTTAAATCAAGCATATCATCTGCTTTTTTTGTTTCTGCCCCACCCCCTTTTAAAAACAGCCTTACTGAGCTTTAAGTACCATAAAATGCACCTGTTTTAAATACACTATTCAATGATTTTTAGTGAATTTAAAAAATTATGCAACCATCATTTGGAGATCATTTCCATCATCACACGAAGATTCCTCAAGGCCATTTGCAATCAATCCTATTCCCACCTCCAGCTCCAAGCAACCTCTAACTTGTTCTCTTTATAAATTTTCCTTTTATACAAATAGAATCATATAATACAGTGTCCTGGGTCTGGCTTCTTTCACTTACTATAATAATGTTTTTGAGGTTCACCAATGCTGTAGGAGCATGTTCATTACTTTCACTGCTGAACAGTACTCTACTGTATGAATATTCCACATTTTGTTTTTCTATTCACCAATTAATGGAAATATGGATGGTTCTTTCCTTCTGGTTGTTATGAACAATACTGTTATAAATATTTATGTGCAAGCATTTCCATGGACATGTTTTCATTCCTCTCTTGGGTTGTACAGTAAATTTATGTGCAACTTTTTAAGACTACCAAACTATTTTCCAAAGAGGCTAAATCATTTGACATTCCCACCTGCAAAGTATAAAGGTTCCAGTTTCTCCACATCTTCCCCAGCTAAATGAAATTATAAATTATTAAATGACCCAGAAGTTTGGAGAAAGGTACCTACTCTTACCTAATCCCACTTGGGACATCTCTTTAGGACACTCATGAGCTTTGGAACTTAAAAGGAGAAAATTTATAGTCTATAAAACCTCTTC